TGTGCTGTCACCAAGTCTTCTTCTCTTTCTGTATAAACATCCATAACACAAGAAAACATGTATGTATATTATAATATACATGAATCACATAAATTTCTTTTCATTTTGTTATATTATGTCATCCACCCCATCTGTTTCCAGTAAGGACTTTTGTAATGATATGATATATTGCTTCTTCTAATGATAGGAAGAGGACGGAGACTTAACTTGTACAATTCTCCTGGGGATCGGAAAATACTTCCAGTTATAGGAAAGTAGCAATTGAATGGAGCCAAATCTGGAATACAATGCCGCAGGAATTAACCGGAAGTGATATCGGGAAGGCATGCATCTGAGGTCACCACTCATCGAGAATTGGGAATGTCCATGGAGCATACATACAAGCATCGAATGGTCCTGAGTAATATACAGTCATTTCCAAGTTTGGAGCAGGACATCCCTGAGTTGGTCAGTCTTGGCACAAATTCTATCTCAGCAAATGCTGGTGTTAATGGAGAATTTCATGGACCAGCTGAAGTATGGTTAATTCTAGAATTTTGGTTCAACAAGTACATCAACATAAGAACAAAAATCTATGGTGATGGCTGAATGTTTTATCTTTCCCTTCTTTTTTCTGCCTGATTTTGAGCACTAAATCCAGAATTTTAAGAAAATTTTTGACACCTGCTGCGTTACTACTTCCAGGGGTTTTGAATAACAATGTGTTGCGAAGTGTCATCGGAGAAGATTCTCTGAATCCATATGATTATAGAAAATATTTCTTGTCTTTGTACACTTCGTGTCATTTGAATTTGATGGTGACCTGTTCACAGAGTGGTTCCATAGTCAGGGTGGGGTAGTTTGCCTCTTTGATGGTGCTGCTTTAGGTGTGCCTTCTCATGGGGAACACACTGAAAGATGGAAGGCTCCTATAATGTAGTTCTTAGGAGGGGCAAGAGTTTCCTCCAAAGTTGGCTCTGAAGCTCGTTTGGATATTCTATTGGCCTGTGATATTTTTAACGAAGAGTTAGAGCTGTCTTTCTAGTATCAATATGATGATGTCAGATTTTGGTTGTTCATCCAAAATGGGAGGATGGATCCAACCTGGTTCCTTTTTCTCATGCATTAGTATTGTAGGCTTTGGGAACACCTTAAGTCTGGCCAGGAAGGAAGCTCTCCAGAGATCGTTGGAGCACCATGGAGAGCATGTTGGACGTGGATTTGTAAAACAGAGGTTTGCCAAGTGGAACCTCCTCCGATGCTCAAATCATACTATGTCTAAAGAAAATGAAAGCTCATAAGCTAGAGAGATTATTAGAGTTCAGAAAGGTTCCAAAAAATTTTCCTTTTTTATGAGGAGATGCTTTTATAGTGTTAGGAAAATAGCAACATCGTTGGCAAAGGTTCATCAAATCCATACATTTACAAAGAAGTTCTGATGTAGATTGTGCCATTTTGATTTAGTGATGGCGTGTTAGTGGAGTGGTTCCATGGCTGGAGTGGGACAGTAATGCCACTATTGGTGGTCTATCTCACTCGGGTGACGGAATCTACAAGCTGTGAACTGGGTTTGGTTAGCTCAGCCTTGCCAACCTGCTCCCAGTCTGAACTGTGCTGCTGTTTGTCGATTTGAGTTGTGCCAACCTGAATGGTGCTGACTTGAGTTGTGCCAGTCTGCATCAGGTACTGTGTACTAGGTTGATGTTGTGATAGCTAATGGTTGAAGAGGATGGTGTTCATCACATGTTATCGTATTAGCGTGGATTATTTTCCCACATCATGCATACATTTTTAGGATTTGAGAATGAAAGTCTTGTTGGTGCAGCTCTGAAGAATACACAGACTAGCAACAACTTTCGTTTTAGGACTTGTATCTGCAGATCAAATATTGAGATTGAGGAATTTGTTAGTTTCATGTTTCAAGAAACCTATCAGCTGGATTCTCCTGCATGTCTGTTTGTTAATGATTATAACATTGAAGATGGTTGCAATCCTGAGTCCGCCCTTGAAATGTAAACTCAGCATATTCTTGATTTACTGGAATTAGGTCATATGAAAAGTCATTCAATTGGAGAAATTATTTGTGATGCACAGAACAAGTTTGTTTTTTGTTGAGCTTTGTACAAGGTAATATCTTTATTTTAACTAAAAGCATTTAAATTTCTTATTATAGTTTCCCTTAAAGATTCATAGGTCCTTCTCTTCTTCTCTTTATGCTACTCGTTCTAGTGGATGCATCTCGTCTGAGGATTACATATTTATGCTTTGACAATGGTTTATAGCTCCGAGTGGTGGATGACTGGAAAATAATATGTAAAAGTTTGTATAGCTGAGATCAAAATTTAGGGGTATATGAGAACTGTTTATTTTCAGGGATCATTCTCATTTGATTGATGCTATGGGTAACATGAATGAAGCTGGCAAAGGTATCTTGCTCTGTACAAAGAATGGTTATCTCATGCTGATGATGACATTGATGCCCAAGGTGAATACAGATTTAAAGGACATTATGGCACATACATCATGGAAAAGTACTGCTTTCAAGATTATATCAAGATCATTCATTGTTGACAAGGGTAAATTTCTTCTTGTTTTAATCATACGTTTATAATTTGTAAATTTTCACACTTGTTGATGCCTTATTTCAATGATTCTTAAAAGCAAATACTCTGCATAAAATATTGACTCTGTTAATGGATTTTGTTTGTGCTTGCTGATCAAATAATGTCTATTGGTTTGGATGAAAACTGATGCTTTTTTTTAGTTAATAGAAATTTAATTTGTATCACCAAAAATGTTTTTAAAAAAGTTAATCGATGCAGTTTTACTACCCAAACACAGTTTTTTGTGTTGTGCATTGTCAAAAACTTACTGGTACTTCTTTTGAACTAATAAATTTCTTAAACTGTTTTTTCTGCTTGTTCGGTTCATTTGTGTCCTTTTAAGGGGATGATAATGTTTTACTCTTCGTTCAATCAGCATCTTGTTTTTTTTTATAGGTTTTTCAGACGTGTAATATTACAAATTGACTGACCTTTTACGAGTAGGTGTTGTAAAGACCTGTGCATCATTTGTAGGTGGAAGATAAGTATTTGATATTAGTTTGTTATATTTTAGGACAATTTACCTATAAATTGCAAAAAAAAAAAAACATGAAGATAGATCTGAACCTTATGGCCAATCTCTGAGTGAAGATGATGTGTGTTCATCAATTAGTGAGATGCATGTAGGCCTAACCATGGTTCTGGTTTCAAAAACAATAGTTTGGATTCATTGATTCGGATTGATTAGAAAAATAAAAAAAGGATGTTGATTCCGATTGATTAAAATATTAAAAAGAATTATCAAATTTTGAATTTATGCCCTTTGACTCTAAATTTAATGTGTTAATAATCATTGCACCATATAATTCATATTTGTCTTCTTCTTTTTTTCGTTATATTGAAATTGAATCAAAATATTAGTTTCAATTTCAATCGTCTTTGGAACTAGCTGAATCGTTGACTTAATTGGAGATCGGTTCTTAATCGATTTGGGTCGGGGTCAAATCGAATCACATTAAGGACAGGTTCAAATCATAATTACTTACAACACAATAATAAAGATAACAAGCATGTTTCTTTTGAATCGTTAGTCTTAGCTTGGTCGTAAACATGTCTTTTTTGTGTCTTTTATATGAAAACACATGTCTTTCACTTTAACATAAAAACCTAACAATAAGCGTGAGAAAGCTATAAAGTGCATACCAAAAAAAACAAAATCCGAGCTATAAAGGGCATATGAAAACAATCCAACATATTTCAAGAAGCTATAATGGTTGTTTAATCAACGTTAGAGATGACATACTTAATGTGTAACCCTTATGCACCAAGTCTGGTCAGACCCAAATGATGTTTTGTCTTCTGAAAACAACACATGGTTTTCTTGACTATATATTATAGTGTTTTCAAAAACCCAAATAATTAATTATTTTTACTAAATAACCTATAACTTTAACATTATCCTGAACTTATTTTGTTTTATTATATATATATATAGATAGATAGATATTCTTTATGTCATACATATTTTCTCTTGTGTGGCAATTTAGAGCTTGGCACATCAATCATTGCCTGATCCATCAGAACTTAGCTATGATGATTGCTAGACTTTGGACCACTTCAAGATCATGCTGTCCCAATCAAAATAATTAAGATCATGATTACATAGCCTTTCCTAGTGAATCTGACATAAAGTCTCTCCCTTCACCCTTGTAGGATCCAAGTAATCTCCTTTGTCATCATGCACTCAGAGCACAGTGTATGTGATATGGAGATTTCTGAAGCCCACTGAAATATATGGTAAGTGGCCACCAATCATATGGCGAAGCCAAAATTCCATGTATATCCCTCCCAAATTACTTGTATGTCTTCATAGATAAACTCGGTCAATTGACCATTAAAGTTGCAATATTGAAACTCTAATTGATAGTAATATATGGTACAGAAATTTTCTTGGGACAGTAATGACGTTAATAATATATATCCGAACTAACAACTGCTAATCATGATTGATAAAGGTTAGCCCGAGTGTTTTGCATGACCATTAATGGTAGGTGTATACATGAAAGATTAATATTGGGGACAGAAATTTGTTATTTCGAACTTTAGACATGTAAAAACCCCGAAGAGGAAAAGTGTCATTGCATTCCTTCTTTCTTGCTTAGCTTTGAAGATCTATTTTATAACTAGCTTCAGATCAGTATGATATCAAAATCTGCCTTCACCACTTAACAAAAAATGATGATTTAGATTAAAAATACTATATATACTAAAAATTTTAATTTTTAATAATATCATCCTGAGCGGTATGTATTGGTACGTAGACCGTCCGTTATCGGATGATATGATTGCGTGTCTTCTCCTTGTCTAATGCGACGAGAAGAAGAAAAAGAGATGATGTCGTTGAGATAAAATATTTTTTTTAATTATATATATATATATATATATATATATATATATATATATATATATATATATATA